GAAGGAGAAAGCCACGCCTGCTATTATAATTCATTTCCGTTCCCCAAGTTGCAATAATTCATTCAAAGCAGAGTGGATTAAACGTTCAGAGCATTCGTTAAACAGCTCAGGTTTTTTAAGTCTCTGCTTTCCTCCTCTCGTAAATCGATCACAGCCAGGCATTTTAACACCGCTGTTCCCGAAATGACTTAATTGCTGTTTGCTTCAGTTAAGAAAAAGCGAGAAGCCTTCAAAGAATGGAATATGTGCTTTTAATTGAATGACCCCCAGCTCCCGTCAAACAATTATCCGAATTGTTGTCTTCCTCCGGTGCCCCGTGGTGCCATTTGGAAGTCCCCTGTTAGGAGAACATCGAAGGACTCTGAGTGTGAGAAAAACCACAGCTTGTGTGGCAGCATTCAAGGTGCTGGTTATTACCTTTAAAGCCCTACATGGCCTAGGACCCGGATATCTACGAGACCGTCTCCTGCCACATACCTCCCAAGATCTCACAGGATGGGCCTTCTCCAAGTGCCGTCGACCGGACAATGCCAGCTGGTGACTCCTCGGGGGAGGGCCTTCTCTGTAGCTGCTCCGACCCTATGGAACGATCTACCCCCCGAGATCCTGACCCTTCCCACTCTCTCGGCCTTCCGAAAGGCCACTAAAACCTGGCTATTCCAGCAGGCCTGGGGCTGTTGACCGCATGAAGAGCCCCGCCTACATTGAGTGCATGATGTGTTTCTTTTAAATCTGTTTCTTCTTCTCTATTTTTAATTTTTATTATTTTTAATATTGTATTCTGTAAGCCGCCCAGAGTCCTTCGGGATTGGGCGGCATATAAATGCATTAAATTTCAATATTTCAATTCTGGGAAAAACCACTGGCATACAAATGGCTCCTTTGCAAGGTGGCTAATTGATTCCGAAAGGAACACGGGAAGGGAATGGCTGACCACTAAGCCCCCCTTCCACCAGAACAGGCCACGTTCCCCATCAGGAGAGGGGAGATTTGATGGAAACACAACGCGGGAATGGTTCAGCCAACGCAGAACTTGGTTACTAATTTTTCAGTGGGGTCCAAGAACGCGAATGATCAGCCAGGTTTCACGCTGCAAATTCAAACTTGGCCCAGTTCAATGTCAGGGCAAAGAGGGATGGGTTTCCTTCGCTCTCATCTGGCTTTATGACGGGGTGCCCAAATGTCAATCAGGCTTGGCAATGTTTTGAGTTCTCTAAGCCAGAGGTGGGCGACTTTAGGACCTGTGGACTTCAACTCCCAGAATTCCTGAGCCAGCGTAAGGGATTCTGGGAGCTGAAGTCCACAGGTCCTAAAAAGTTGCCATGGTTACCGACTCCTGCTCCAAGTCTCTTCAGTGTTTGGGCTAGTCAAGATTTGGCTTTAGGATAATTTGGCTTCTGGCTACATGACGACCAAGCCAGTCCAATCGTTCCAATGTATCGATCCAGATCAGGAATGGATTTTGGCCAAGACCAAATGAGCAAAGGAAAGTCTTTTCAATTCTTCCCTCTACTCCAAACCTTTTGAGGTGAAGAAGGTTTCAACTCTTTAGCCAGGTCTTATGAAGCATAGCCTTCACCGTTGCAAGCACCAACCATTGAATCTCATGGAGTACATTTAATTCAAGCCCAAATCCTACCTTCACCAGGAAAAAGGAGACTCCGTAGGTCCTCAGAGACCGGGCCAACTTCACGTACTTCACTTTGGCCTCGATTTCTGTCATCTCCCCGCAGTTCTTGTGCTCCTGTGGTGAAAGGACTATTTTCGTCAAACCGAAACCTCCTAGGAGAAGGCCTCGGCCGCTGTGGAACAGGTAGACTTTCAAGGTGCTGCTAAAAGAGAGAGTCACCTCTGAACCTCTTAATTTATTTGCTTATAAAGATCCGTAACCTGGCATGTCTCCTCAGACCAGACCCAGCCGAGCAAGGTTATGAGCTCGAATTGGCCATCTTCCCCCTGTCTGACCTTCCTTTCTCAGCCACGCTCCCTTCCTCATCACCCTTGCCCACGGCCTCCGTCATCCCTTCCTTTCTCAGCCTGGCATCTGAGAGAGGGTCAGCCAAGTGTATTTGGTTTTCTGCAGCTCCTGCCAGCTTTCATTAAACTCTGAGGTCACCAGTGATATTTCAAGGATGTGAAACTCACGCATGGAAAGATATTTGCTGAGCCCACGGAAGACAGGTGTCATCCTGCCTCCACAGGCCTCTTGAAAGAGTTTTGCATCCAATTTTTGACGCTTGGTATCTCCCGGGATAAGAGTCTTATGGAGGCAGCCAACATCTGGGCTACCAAGAGCAGAAAATGGGGATTTTTGAAGATGACCTGGATGTTCATAGCACACAAACGTACTTTCCACTCCAGGCCAATCATAAACGTTGGCTTCAGCGCAAGGCGATGCTCACCTTGTGTTTAGAGCAAACCAGATGAAGCAGCTGATTGCAACTTGGAGGAGAGGCTGCTCCCTATGCCAACTGATTAGCAAACCAGACGTTGAAAGTTTGCTTGCCATCTGGAACCTTCCCTCCCTAAATGGTGAATCTCATAACACTTTGTAAGGCCAGAGTAAAAGTTATTTGTCTGTTTTCAACAGACCAGAGACTGGTATCCTGCTCTGTTCCGTTTGATAGGAATTATTAAAGTGACCTTAAGTAGCATTTTCTCTTTTGAGAACCAAGGCAGAAATTAGGAAGGACCAGAAACACCTGCAGCCCATCGCTTGAAAAAGCAGCCCTCAATTTGCTGCAATAGGAACATTTCTAATTCCCAAATCCCAAAGGGTTTCAATCGGCGTCAGCCTTTGCCTTTGTCTTGTGCCCTCCAAATGCTGCCTGGGTATGATGGGAATTGAGATCGAAAACATCTGGAACGCATCACCCTGGGGAAGGCGGCAGATCCTGACCGAGCAGAGGAAGCCCCATGCTTTTCGTCAGCTGTTTCCCAACCAGCTGTGTCAGTCCGTAACTTCCAGGGCCCCCACTGTTCACACTGACTGAGAATGGTGGGAAATTCTAGCTCCAAACATCTGGAGGGCATTTGATGAGGAAAGCTGCATTGGATGCTTTTAGTAGTCCAAAGAAGACACCTTGGGAGAACGAGGGTTTCGAGCCCTCTGAGGGCCTTCCACATCTTTCCTCACAATGCACAGAATTAATAGCAATAGCAATAGCAGTTAGACTTATATACCGCTTCATGGGGCTTTCAGCCCTCTCTAAGCGGTTTACAGAGTCAGCCTCTTGCCCCCCCAACAATCCGGGTCCTCATTTTACCCACCTCGGATGGACAGAAGGCTGAGTCAATCTTGAGCTTGGTGAGATTCAAACTGCCAAATTTCAGGCAGCTGGCAGTCAGCAGAAGTAGCTTGCAGGACTGCACTCTAACCACTGCGCCACCGCAGCTCATGCAGTATTGCAGGCTAACTTTGC